ATATATCAACAGTTGAAGTTTGTAAACACTCTTCCAACACAATATTTTTGTTTATTATGTTTGCATTTTTGGCACATAGAAAATAGCATGTAGAAGCAAGGCAATTATTTTCACCATTTAGTACTTTAATGGTTAATTGAGCTGTAACTTTGTGACAGCCAAAAATAGAAATCATATTCAGCTATAATTCATTTCGGAGATGATAGCAGTTTAAAACCAACAGCAAAATGATAAAACTACACTTAAGACAGAAGGCGAATTAAATCTAAGTCGACATATAATAAAATAACTTTAAAATCTACATGTTAAAAGTTTAATTCAAATAAAATGAACCTTATTTTGTGTCTCTGTGTGACCCTAAAAGATGAGTTTGTTTTGTTTTTTGTGGATGTTATTTACCGTTTCAGTACTTAGTGTAACATATAATATGCTGTTTTCTTGTAGGTTCACAAAATAGATGTTTTGAATGTCAATAAAAATTTTTAATTACAAAATTAATTACCAGTATTATAAGAATTTACAAATGAAATTGTACAAAATAAAAGTAAGATAGAAGTATTTAACTTACTATGGAATGTTTTTGAATCATCCCATAGTAGTTTTGAATCAATAAAATGTATTTTCCTCCCTAAATTTTTTAACTTAAAACATGCCACAGGTAGGGGCAGAGCTAGATGGGGGGCCAGGGGTGGCCATGGCCACCCTTAGCCAATCATTGCCCACCCCTGTGGCCACCCCTACAATTTATTTCCCTGTAATACAGATAGTGGCAAACATTAAAAGTTTTCATATATTAACAATTATTTGACAACAAAAACCCTGTGGTTAATTCTGCACATTAATATACTAACATTAAAGATGATAAGTATGGAATTCATGCTCTTTTAGAACTAGATTTTGTGTTTTATGGGGTAAAGAGAAAATTATGCGTCTCTGCAAGTCGTCTTCAATGAAATCATAGATAAATAACTATTTTAATAAAAACTTATTAAATGACTAATTTATGTAGATATTGGTATTTGCGAATATCAATTTTATGCAGAATAATTACTGATAAAAGTAGGTAAGTAATGACAACGGAAAAGACGTTCGCCCAAAACTCAAAGCTGAAAAAATTTTATTCAATATACCTTTTATGTAGAAAGCACATATATTTGAATATATTCGTTAGCAAAGTCTGTAGGAAAGTATAGTATGTCTTTATTTTGAAAATATGGATGTTTTGCTTGTTAATTTTCCTGTTGGAACAGTAGAGATTGAACTTGAACTATTGGTGCCTATCTACTTTCGGCCACCCCTCAGTGTACGTTGGTTATTTCCAGGGCACCCTTATTAACATTTTCTGGCTACGCCTCTGGCCACAGGTGACTACATTTTCATTTATCTCTTACTTTCTGACCGCTTTCTGTTCGCCCGTGTGTTGGTCACGCCCCTCGGAACCCCCACCATTGACAGGGCGGATTCTGATTGGCTCCTGTCTACTGTCTGTTGCTGTTATGGCCACGCCCACTCGGCTCTGCTTCCTGAGTGTGTGAGCCGTTGGACTCGGTCTGTCTGCGGAGAGGCATCGGTATGGACAGTTGCTCCTTCCTGCAACTTTTCACTGGGGATTTTAAACCTTCTACTTCGCGTTTTGTCACAGTTATGAACTCAATTTGAGCCTAAACTGAGGTAAACAGGTTGTTTAAAATATTTTATTTTCTTCTTAGTTCGAGTTGTTTAAAGCAAAAAAAGGAAAATGCCAGTCGCAACTCTTCTACCTTTCACCGCTCCGCCGAATAGGAAGTCCGCCAGCCCGACTTCTTTCAGGCTGACAGAGAAATTTATTCTGCTCCTGGTGTTCAGCGCCTTTATCACTCTGTGTTTCGGGGCTATCTTTTTCCTGCCGGACTCATCGAAGCTGCTCAGCGGAGTTTTCTTCCGTTCCACCGCGGTGGAGACCAACACCCGCACCGGTCCGGAGAGCAGCTACTCCGGCTCGGCTGGAAGCGACGACAGGGTCCTGGCTAAGATCAAGAAAGACCACGAAAAGGCGCTGCTGGAGGCCAAGGACACTCTCCAGAAGCGACCCGAGGAGATAGAGCGGGACATACTGAACGACAAGAGGAAAGTTAACGTTGCGGGTCAGGCTGGGAACGATGTGAATAAAATCCCCATCATTGAGTACCACCGTCCGCCCGGAGCCACTGGGCACGAACCGCTGGACCCCGAAACTAAGGAGAGACGGGCTAAAATCAAAGAGGTGAGGAAACCAATTCAACTGGTTAATGGGAAAATGAATTTCCACCAAACCAGGGGCGCGTCTGCAAAGTTTTTAAAAGGGGGAGTCCAGATGGGGGGCACTGATAATAGCAATGCGCATACATACGGGAGAGGATTAGGGACACTGAAAAAATTAAAAAAGTTGACTGATTTTTAAATGTTATTTCAGTTTAATATTCTGACATGTTTTCTAAGAATTCTGACTTTTATCTCAAAATTCTGACTTTAATCTCACTCAGAATTCAAACTTTTTTCTCAGA